GATGCTGTCGTAGCATCAGTTTGTGAGATAAATACCAATGACGACTAGTGCCGACCGCCTTTGTCAACAAATCTGCAGTCTGATCTTCTGTTGACAAGTGACTAAGCTGGATGACTCCTTCTTGAACAAGCTGCCGAATATAGTGTACATGAGTCTCGATGTGTTTGGTCCTGTCATGTAACACCGGATTGTTAGCAATTCTAATGGCACTAGTGTTATCACCAAACAACCGCATAGGCATCGTACAGATGACACCCAGATCATGCAACAGCCGCTGCAACCACACTAATTCAGAGCTGACTTCTGACATAGACCGGTACTCTGCTTCAGTGGAAGACTTAGAGACACGATCTTGCTTCTTACACCTCCACGATATAGGCGAAAAACCAAGTCGGACACACCAACCAGAAGTAGAGCGCCGTGTATCCACACAACCTGCAAAATCAGCATCAGCAAATGCCTCCAAGGTCAGCTCTCCATGGTTGGGAAAGAAAAGCCCTACATCTTGCGTGCCCTGAAGATATCGCAGAATTCTATGCACAGCATCAAGGTGCAGAGTTCTGGCCATTCCCATATACTGGCTGACAACCTGAACCGCATAGGCAATGTCAGGCCGAGTAGAACTTAAGTACCGGAGACTCCCAACTATCGTACGATAGTTAGTTTGATCATCTAGAAGCTCACCACTCAATCTGCTCAATTTTAAATTCTGCTCCATTGGAGTAGGACTCGGCTTGCAATCCTGAAACTGAAACTCGACTAGCAGATCTCTAACATACTTCTTCTGGCTAACAAAAATACCATGGGATGTGCGCTCGATCTCTAGCCCCAGGAAGTAGGAAGCCTCTCCAAGTTCCTTCAATTTAAACGCCTGGTGTAAAGTCTCCTTGAGTTCCTGTATACCAGCTTGATCACTCCCTGTGATGATCATATCATCAACATACAGCAACAACACTGTGAGTCCTGACACTGTATGACGCAAAAACAATGATGGATCATTCTGACTTTGTACAAAGCCAGCCTGTATAACTGTCCCATGAAACTTCTCAAACCAAGTGCGTGGAGCCTGTTTCAGACCGTACAGAGATTTCTTTAACCGGCATACAACATTGGGACCGCCCTTTGAGTACCCAGCCGGACAGGCCATATAAATAGTTTCCTTCAGATCTCCATGTAGAAAGGCGTTTTTGACGTCTAACTGAACCAAAGGCCAATTCCGCATTGCAGCAACAGCTAATACACACCTGACAGTTTGCATTCTTGCCACCGGCGCGAAGGTTTCATCGTAGTCAATCCCGTACTCCTGACTAAACCCTTGAGCTACCAACCGAGCCTTATACCGATCAAGCGATCCATCAGGCTTAAGCTTCACAGTAAACACCCACTTACACCCAACAATGGACATATCAGGAGTCCTTGGAATCACTTCCCATGTCTCATTCTCCTCAAGGGCATCAATCTCTTCGGTCATTGCATTGTCCCATTCTGGTATACCACATGCATACCTATAATGAGATGGTACATGAATGGGCTCAACGGCAAAGGTAAAAGGATCCACCGCAAAGACAACATAATTGCTATAATGCGGTGGTTCAGCTGGTCCGGAACTGTTAGGTGGCGGCGGTGATTCATGACCATCACTGGCATCACTGCCCAAGCTAGTGTCATCGCTACTACTGCCAGATGAAGAGGAGCTTGAAGAGGAGCTTGAAGAACTTGTCTCCCCACTACTACTGCCCAAACTTGTCTCCCCACTGCTGCTGTCCGTGTGTAATTCCCCTACGGATGACAATGCATCACTTTCATCTTGAGAGGAAGAAGACAATGAAGGGCCAGCAGTTGGTGGATCCCAAGTATGACCCGATGTCATAGTATCTGCAACGACAAGTGTTTCAAGGAAAGAGAGGCTGCGGGCAAACTCCTCTCGAGACGATTCCTTCTTAGCTGAAAAATACATAACCTGCTCCATAAATATTACATGGTACGCAATCCGCAAACGTTGGTTTTCTGGATCATAACAAAGATACCCTTTGTGACGATCACTGTAGCCCACAAATACACACCGAACTGTCTTGGGTTCCAGTTTATGACGCTCCTTGCGTGGAAGAAGTACAAAACATAAACAGCCGAACACCCGAAGAGCACCGTAGTCCGGCATCTTGGAATATAACCGTTGATAGGGAGAAGAATTATCCAGGACAGGAGTAATTTGACGATTAATGAGGTGAACCACAGTGTTAGCGGCTTCCACCCAAAATCTCGCAGGAACCCCAGATCGAAATAGTAGAGCCCGCGTAAGCTCAAGAACATGGCGATTTTTGCGTTCAACCACACCATTCTGTTGTGAAACTCCTGGGCAAGACTGCTGACTGAGAATCCCATGTGAACGGTAGAAAGCAAGGAGCTCATTTGAACTGAACTCCCCACCTGGATCAGAACGTATAACCTTCACTGTTTTCTGAAATTGTGTTTGTATCATTCGAACAAAATCCTGAGCATGATTAACAAGTTCAGATTTATGCTTCAGAAAGTAAATCCAAGTATACCTGGTATGATGATCGATAAACAGGGCAAAGTATAGGAAACCATTCCGAGAGGGAACATGAGACGGACCCCAAAGGTCAGTATGCACAAGATCAAACGGAGCATCATACACGGTAGTACTGGGTGAAAATGATCGTTGAGTAGCCTTAGCCTCAACACAGCTAATGCATGAAGGGGGAGAAAAGGAAGCAGCTCGAAATTTATCAGGCAACAACTCAAGCGAAAACATCTGTAATAATCGAGAAGAATGTGGATGCCCCAAACGGCAGTGCCAAAGATCCCAGACAGAATTCCGTACATCCGAACTTAAAGACTGCTTAGCCGAAACAACAGGAAAGGAAGAAACGTTTAGCCTACAACTATCAAGAGAGGCGGCAGTCCTATCATCATCACTAGAACCATTAGCTAGTCCATGTCCTTGTCCCGCCAGCTCCCTAGACTGAAGAGACTCCATCACATAGATACGCCCTTGTTTACGACCCCGGCCGAGTTCCTTCCCCGTCGTCGAGTCCTGCACCACACATCCATGATTATTAAACAGAACATCACACCCATCTTCAGCAAGCTGTCCCACAGAGATTAAGTTCGGAACCAGTTGAGGAACATGAAGAGCTTTATTCAAGTGAAGATTAGATTCCACAACCTGCCCCATGCCCGTAACTGGTAAAACTGTACCATCAGCCACTTGCAAACATTGAGTAACAGGATGAAGCGATATGAACGAACCGACATGATTTGTCATATGATTGAAAGCAGCGGAGTCAAGTAGCCAACGACGAGAGTTACCTGAGGTAGTGCCAGTAGAGAAGGCCGATTGCATCACCTCCTGCAGGGCCGAGTGAATTAGCCGAGAGAGTTCCGCCTTTGATACGCCAGCCGTGGTCGAGGGGACATCCGAAGGAGGAGCAGGGGGCACTTCATGGATGGCATAGGCTGCCGAAGTTGAGCGAGAACCAGCATGGCGAGGAGGAGCACGACGACCACGCTTAGGGCACTCACTCAAGATGTGACCAGGCTGGCGACAAAAGTTGCACCAATTGCGTTTACGACAAAAGGGTTGAATGTGGCCAGGATCTCGGCAATAATGGCAGAATCGAACAGGAGCAGCCCCAGTACTAGTAGATGAACCACCACTAGGCACACCAGCACCAGCAGGGGACAATGATGAAGGCTGAAAGGAAGGCCTAAAAGAGGCAGCAGCAAACGCCGAGGAATTGTCGAGAGACCGACCAGAAGTAGCATCGATTTGCGCCTGACTTTTGAGGCGAATTTCCTCCCGATAAAGCTCAGCTAGAACCTCGTCCAATGCGGTAACATTACGATGGAGGAGAGAAGCTCGAATAGGTTCAAATTCAGGACGAAGCTTCATGAGAAAATGCATTGTACGACTCCGCGTACGTTCAGCAATAGTCTCAGCAGAAGTAGGTGTCGCCGAGAGGGAAGACGAGAGAAGATCACTCTCAGTCCAAAGATTCATAGCGGCCTGATAATACGACCGAACATCCATATTACCCTGTGTGAGCCCGGTCATAGCCGTTTCCAAAGCAAACTGTCGAGATGCATTAGCTTGACAGTTGGTAGTACACAGGTGCTTCCACATATCACTGGCCGCCGTAAAACGACGTAAACTCAAACCAGTAGGGACATCAACACACGCCACAAGCCACGTGATGACCTGGGCGTTCTCCGCTTCCCAATCAGCGAACTCTTTAGCCTCAGACTCAGAAGGCTTAGGTCGAGTGCCCAACAGCAAAGGAAGGAGGCGTTTGCCTTGCACAAAGGTACGGAATTGGAACTCCCATAACGGGAAATTATTTCCATCAAAACGAGCAACAAAGGCATCTGGTTTGCTGGAATCCATCGAGAACAGACAGCCAATATACCCAGTGAACGAAAATGGACGACAGGCAGTAAAGCAGATCACAAAGCACACCTTGAGCAGCCAACAAAAACCCCACCAGCTATAAAGTCCACCTTGAGCAGCCGACAAGAAGAGAAGAAACCCCAATGCAGCAATGAGATGAAATAAAAGACAGCCGAGAATTCCAAACCTGACCAAGAAGAAACCCCAAACACGCAGCAGAGGAGAGCTCAAAACCAAAGCAGCCGAGAAATCCCAAACCTGAAGACAATAACAAGCAGCCGAGACCAAGGAGAAGCAGCCGACGACACACAGCAGCCGAAACCTCAGAAGAGAGGCTCTGATACCATGATAAGAACTCGAAATAAACGCAAGCACAACACGAAGATTTACGTGGTTTCCCTGAGAATCAGGACTAGTCCACGGGAGAGATAGAACCCTCCGGAGTCAATATTATTCAGCTTAGGTTTTCTGTACAGCAGAGATACATATATATATGTTCGGCATAGGGCATAAACCGAACCCTAGATGGTTTATTAAGATAACTCTCGTAATTAATATAAATTACTAAAAGCTACCTAAATAAACTAAGTCGTCATTTTAACACGCCCACGTGAACGCCGTCTGCGGCGGCGGCGGCGGCGGCAGCAGTACCAATCCCGAACCCAAGAAATCCTCCCAAACCATCTGCTGCCGAACTACAAGGAGGAATATGGTGATCAGATGCTGCAGCACGATCCGACGTCGTTTCGAGGAGGCGTATCTGGCGCTTCAAGTACTTGACGTACCGCACGGCCTCCTCGAGCATGGAGGCCGTGTCGAGCTTGGTCCCTCCGGGGACCAGCCGCTGGAGGATCCGGATCCTCTCGCTGATCCTCTCGCGGCGGCGTCGGGCAGCGACGCTCTGAGGGTCGTCGCTGATCCGCACGTTCCTCCTCCTCGGCCTCCGGACCGAGGCCGGGTCAATCTCCACGGGCTGCATCGCCGCCATCCTGTACATCATCTCCTTCATGGCTCCCAGCTCCTCCTCCTCCTCATCTTCAGCCTCAGCCTCGTCGTGATCATGATCGCCATCTTCGAGGCCTTCTCGTGCTTCGTTGCGTTCCTTTAGCGACGGATCTTGATTTTCCAAACGGAGAAGTTGCATAGGGTCGTGGGTCGAATCGATTTGCTTCTTTGTTTGGCTCCGGAGGAAGCTTGGAGAGGAGAAAGGATCCAATTGTTTAGTGTCGTGGGTGGATTCGATTTGGTTTTCTGTTTGGTTGCTGAGAAAGTTTGGAGATGGGAAATGGTTGAATTGTAAGTGAGGGTGGTGGTGGTGGTGGAAGGAAGAAGGGAAGTTTGTTGAGGTTTGATGGTGGGATTGATCAATTTGTGGTTGTGGTTGGTGATGGATGATAGTATTCCAGAGATGGGTTTGATTGATGTCCATAAGAGAAATGAGGGTTTTGAGGAAGAGGAGAGAAAGAGTAGAGAGAGGAGGAAAGAAGAGGGAGTTTTTGGTGCAAGTGAGAGAGAAAGGGAGGAATTGAGGGCTTTTTGATGGGCATGGGGGAGTTCATGTTCTGTGAGTGAGAGAGAAAGGGGGAGAAGAGAAGAAGAAGAAGAAAAAAAAAAAGATTATGAGGCTTTGGGGAGATGATGATGTCAGAGAAAATAAATGCAACGGCCGTCGTCATAATTGGTTTTAAGGTGAAGTATATTTTATATATTATTTATTCCATCTTGCTTAATTTTTTGTATTTTTTTCGAATAAGTTTATCGATCAGTAACGGATACATAATAATGCAGTAGCATCGTAACTAAAATTATTCATTTTTAAAAGGTTTTATGATGTTTGAGTTTGATACCTTTAATTTAAAGGGAACTTGTAACCATGTGGAGCACAATTGTAATGGATGAAAGAGTTTCCCAGAGATGGTTAATTCATGCAAACAATTTTGTGGGACTCCTTGGTTTGGGTCGAAGAAGCAATGTCACTGAATCATTATCAAATTGATTGCAATCTTTTTCTGTTTGTGAAAATCTCATCAGAGCACCTTGATGAATGCATGGGTGGTGTAGTTGATTATAAGTTAATCTCACATAGTATAAAGATCTCCGATTCGAACTTGGCCACAAGCAAGTAAATATTTTCTATGACTTATTCAATCGAGAACAAGTAATTGGGCTAGAACGACATATAAAAAACAACAAGTACTAGAATTCGGTTGAAATTGTATTCGATCTAATTTGGTTTAGGTCGGTACTAGCTCAATTTGGTCCATTTTTCATTAAAAAAAAATTATCCTCATGAATAGAAATCATGGTAATTTCATAACTTAAAAAACTTTTGGCTCTGCTATAATAGTACTTAATACATTTTTTTAATGAATGTCTGGGTGGTGTAGTTGGTTATCACGTTAGTCTCACACACTAAAGGTCCCCAGTTCGAACCTGGGCTCAGACACTTTTTTTTTTCCAGTAAAGTTTGATGCAGTGTACTACTTACTCAATAGAACGTACAAAGATTTTCTCAAGTCTAATAGCTTGGTTCAAATTTTTATCTAGCTCCATATATATTGTTATTTAGTGATAGCTTGGGTCAAATCTTCATCTAGCTCCATATATATTGCTATTAGTGAGTTATCAATGTGCCTCGCTTGATATTAGAGCATCGATGCATGCTAATAATACAAAATTATGATAGCATATCAATAATATTTAATTTTTCTCAACAGAAAAAATGATCTAGGGGTAAATTGATAATTACTAAGTATGGATTACAATTTACAACAGATTCAAGTATATGTTAACTACTTATCTGTATTTTAAATATGTCTGAAATTTATTTGATATATCTTTAGAAATTTATCTAATGATCATTATAAAAAAAATTAACGATTAAAACTAAGCAAAATAGTTTGTCTATACTATATCATCATATTAATCAAATATCGGCAAATGAAATTCAAATAATTTATGCTTGGATTATAATTCTTGAATAAGTATATAAATTGTGTATACAGTATACACCCAAAATTAATAGTGTACCACGCTATCAATGTATAACATGATTCTCACTTTTCAGTAATAATTTCTCCTAGGTCGGCCATCATGTATATTTCTAGGGCTTATCGATGGTGTGTCACAATGAATGCTAGCAAGCAAAACCATTCAATGCTTTTTGTTTTTCCTTCTTTTGACACAAATAAGAGGGGAATATTGGCACTTTTGCTTGCATATATATATACTTATGGCTGGTGAATGATGATGAAGAAGATCAATGCAACTATGCAAAGCAAAGCACTGAAAACCTAGATTGCTTCTTAAAGGGATGGCTTGGTGGATCAAGGTCTCTTTCTTGCTCCTCCTTAAATGGTTACACTATATACCTAGCTAGCTCTCTCCCTCGCCCCTTTTATCATGCTCTTTGGTTACACTATAGCTCTTTTATTCTTGGTTTTTGTTTCCCTCATAATCAAGTTGATAATCATATTGGACCGAATGGCTCTCTCACTCTTCCTTGGCCATTTTAAAGTGGGTTGGGCACTTTGTTAGAAACAAATTAGTTTCTAACGGGTTTGATAATTGGAGATTTAGGAATTTGAAGAATAGAATTAGGGATTAAGAAATAGAATTTGGGGAAGGACAAGAAAGAATGGCCGACGGCCGGATTAGGGATAGAGGAGAAATTGAGAGGAGTTGGGAGAATATGGTTTAAGGATTTCCTTAATATTCCTCTTATTGATACCGAATGAATAGGTAAAGTACATACTTATAGGGAATTCTAGAAAACCCTAATAGTCAACTTAATTCTAATAGCCATAATAAGAATTATCCTATTTGTAATACTAATAATAAATATAGAAACCCTAAAAGAGTTGGTTTCTAACACACTTGGGCTTGGTTTTTGAATAGCAAAAGCAAATCTTGATAGTTGACATCAAGATCAGTTCTCACTTCCCATTGATTCACGTTAATGCAATTTATTCAATTCATTTGATTAGGTGATGAGGTTACGGTTATGTGTCTCACTTTGGTACTGATTTACATTTGACCTAAGACTTTATACCATCAGACACATGGTAAGGGTGTCCTCCTTATTACCTAAACAGGACTATGCATAATTTCCTGGGTAGTTAGAAAAAAAGAGTTCAACTGATTATCAACCTATTGTTTTATATATTTACCGGTTTGTTTTTATTTGAGTTAGATTAAATCTAAAAAATGTAGTAAATACAAATCCACTTCGAGTTATCAAACTATAGAGATCTTAGTCGAACTGAGAGAATCCATCCTTCAAACTCCTCAGGTGGTAAGTGGCAATTTGTGCTCTCCCTCCCATGTTTATTCTCACATCAAACCATTTCTAAGAAAACCCCATATTGACCACCAACAAGATTATACGCTTGGGCACATGGATTTACAAAGTTTTCATAAGTTACGATAATCTCCAATGTATGCATCGAAATTCTCTTCACAAACATTAATACATACACATTCAAACTCATTACAGATGTTTCATGCGGAAACTTTGAGGTATCACATATAGGCTACAGCTGCTCTGCGTTTGGCCACATCATCATGGCCTTACACAACTTAGAACAGAAGTAACAGGAAAAGAAACAATCAACATCTGATGATGAATCTAGCTCATCAGACGGTGGTGGCGGGAATTCATATACAGAGGGCTTCCTCTGTTTACTGTTTATGAGGAAATGGAAGGCCTGCTGTTCACTTTCTTGCTACCAAAACCAGATGTTTCCACAAACTGCAAATTCTATCATTTATGGCTTGCGCATGCACAACAGGCAATCATTCCTTCCCCCTCGTTACCCTTTTTATGTTCTTCTCCATTTTCCTTCGAGGGAGAGGAAAAAAGAAAAAAAGGAAATGCATTGAGAAAGATAGTACCATCAAATGCATTTCCTAGAATGGTTCTGTTCCTTTAGTTTTTCAACGACCTAAACTCGGTAAAAAAAAAAAGACTCATCAGGCCACAGCCGAAAGTTGTTGGATGACTAAAGAGAATGGAGGAGCTCTATGGTCTTTTCCACCAAGAATATTGAGGGCGATTATACGATTATGTCTACAATAGTTGAAGTCGTTTAGATCTCTACGAATCCTGCAACGTGGGTTGCTTTCTCCTCTCCTGTTCTAGTGGCGGAGCCACGTTGAGATTACTAATCTTAAATCTCGTTTTGGAGTTGGCTGACAGCAGTAGACCTTGAACAATTGGTGGAACAAAGTGACTTCTCTGTATAAAAAAAAGAAACAGGGACTTGCTGCATTTTCAAGAAGCAATCCCCATGGACAAATGTCTTCAAATTATCAAACTTTGTATACATGAAGAAGCCCTCTCCGTACACTCATTCCATCTAAAATCTTAAAAAGGGAATCCATCCAATCTGCAGAAAAACATACACCCAGAAGAAAAAGGAAAGAACATTAAGAGATTCGTCGATTTTCCATCTTAAACTAAACTGAAGAAACAGAGCAGAGGCTTGCAACATGAAAACCTGTACTACTGGACTGACTCTACATGCCATCGTTCCTTAAAGTTGAGAAAATGGAAAAAAGAGAAGCAAGAAATGGCGACAAAGAGTTACATTTAAAGGTAAAGCCTCAATTAGTCAGAGAAGATCAAGACAAGAGATTCACAAACATCCTCATAGGATTATATCATCCTGCTATGTCACAAATGGCCAAGCTAAGATTGATGGAAACAACCACCCCAGGGATTCGTTCCGGTTTTTCATTTACCCTTCTGGAATTTTTCCACATAAGCCTGCCACAGAAAAATAGTACTCCATCTTCAAACATTGAATTGCTTCCCTCTCACGAGAGCAGTGGATTCTTTCAGTAATGAAAAGGCTGCAAAGAATGATGTAACTGGGAGAAGGTTACCTGTACAAGTTTGGTCAACTTTGGCTTTGAAGCTGACAGATAAAGATCAATCTTTTCTGGTGTCTGCGGTATGCTGCTAGCCTGCATTGTACTAGTCACTTTCTCCACCACTTTCTTCACTATGTTTTTGTAGGAATCTTTTGTCACTTGCCCTTCCTTCCATGAGGGTTTCAAAGCTTCCTTAACAAACTCCACAAGTGCAAACTTGAATGCTCGAATCCCCTTGGGTTCTTTGCTTTTCTTCCCCTCGTCACCTTTACCATCTCCATCAATGTCTTCTTCTTCTGGTTTACTTTCCTTAGCTTTGCTGGCACCCTTTGCAGCCTTCTTGCCACTACTTTCCTTCACAACTTCAGATTCTGCACCAGGTTTCAGATTAGGCACTTCTTCTTGACTAACATTCGGTGCAGCCATTTGAGCTTCTTCTTTATCTCCAGTGCTCTTCTCTTTGTTATCATAGGGACTACTGCCGACACCTTGATTCTCAGGTTCTATGCTGTCACATAAAGGATCATATTGCTTCTGAGGTATAACGGGTTGATCTAGTTTAGTAGAGAGCTCGGTATTTGCAATCTTAGCCATATCACTAACTTGATTAGAGCTAGGAGCAGCAAAAAGCTGCGGAGCAAGAAACATAGCAATAGAGTTGGTGAGCTCAGCAACCCGACCATCACTGACCATGTTCTGAGTTGGGGGAATGCTCGAATTGACAGCTAGCCCACTTCTGTCACCCATGGCTTGCAAGTTGTTGATGCCTTGTCCTCCAATATTCAAAAGTGCTGGGCTCAGAGGATTCATTGGTGTGGTCCCAACTCGGCTTTGCTCAACTGGGTTGACACTTGTAAGAAGAGGAGCCAAAGCATTCATACTCGGACCATTAGGGTTTAAGCTCGAATTGACAGCTTCAGCACTTCGGTCACCCATAGCTTGCATGTTGTTGATGCCTTGTCCTCCTATATTCATCAGCATCGGGCTCAGATGGTTTATCGTGGTCTCCACTCGGCTTTGCTCGACTGAGTTCATGCTTGGATGAAGAGCCGGCAAAGCATTCATACTCGGACCATTATTAGGGTTTAAGCTCGGTGCACCCAAGATGTTTCCAGAACTGTTGGTATGAAGGCCATTGACTTCTCTAGGTGCACCATTCGTATCTCTCGAATAGTAGTTATGCTGAATGGAAGACGTATCGTGTCTCAATGGCTGGATGGCCACTGAGACCTCTGTGCTGGGCGGTGGTGGCAATTTATCTATATGGTTAGAAGGTCCATAGTTCCATTCAGGAGACATCTCCATATCACCTGCCCAATCATTATTCATACTTTGGTCAGGCAAGTGACGATTGTCACTGGCATTTTCCCCTTTCACCATGAGGACTTCATTTCTGCCACTCTCGACCATATTAGCTGGTGGCTGGTGACGATCTCTTGCAGTTCGACCATCCAGACTTCGACCATGTGTATCATCCAAAGACCACGGTTTGACTGTTGTTCCAGCATCACTAGGCTTTGCAGCATCTGAAGGATTAACCGGATTGCTATATTTTGCACCATTCCATGGTTTCTCCACATCCCTGCTTGACTTCGAATAATTGTCCATGTCGTTCCATTTCGGGCCATCCCACGTTTTATCCTGTTTATCTTCCACATTTGGTTCAATCAACTGCTTCTCGGTCCTCGGTCTCCGATTCTCGGGACTCAAAATACCCTGTTGACCCTGATGAGAGAACCAGCAATTTCTTCCTTTCCTACAATTACCAGCAGCAAAGTATCTGCAAGGAGTCTCCGTTGCTCTACCACGACTCTGCTGCTCATCATGTCTACCTAAAGGAGAACCAACACGGTGGGTCCTTCTGTCCATGTTATCTCTCTCCCGAATCAACTCATTGGTGGTGGGCCCTTTAGCAGAGGGATCGGAATGGGAAAACCTGCAGTATGCTCCTTTTCTGCAGTGTCCCTTGAGAAAATCACTACACAAGCCGCCAGCATTTTGTCCACTACTACCACTACGGTACTCCTCGGGATCATTAGAATATCTCGAAGGTAGAGCTTTCCTCCGCCCATCATAGCTATCTTCGTAACTCTCACCAACTTCATGAAGAAAGTGACAGTGACTGCCTCTTCTGCATTTTCCAGTAGAAAACTCCTTGCATATCTGAGATGATTGACTTGATCGGCTTCTACCTCGGTCAGAAGTCCCTGACTCTCGCCGAATTGGGCTCCTGCTACGGCTTCTGCTTCTGCTTCTGCGAATAAATATGCACATGTTGAAGGCAAAATGAAGCTCCAATACCATCCAGAAGAGTTGCAACAACTTTTAGCCACCATGAAACATCAGAATAAAAAGCATAATGAGAAGTTTCAGGTGAGGCAATAAAATGAATGACAATAGGAAAGTGTATTATGGACCTTGTGTTTGTGAATTGTGACATAGTGCCATACCGTGACGGTTGTACTGGCTCAAACGTGCCAAGGACCAAGCTGATACTTTTTTGTTATGCTTTCGCTTTTTCCATTATACCTCTATTACAGTACAATTAGTTTCACCAGTTTGATCTCCGGTAATGGTTTCCAAAAAACTTATGGTTATATATCCGTGAGTTAAAACAAAGTTCCTTTAGCAAATGGACTTAAAAGCTGAAACAAAAGTACCTCTCCACCTTAACAATATCTATTCATGGTGAACTCTCAGAGTAATAATAGATAAGAGCCACATAAAAAAGTCATATCTAATTTTTCCCCTTGAAATAAGTATTTCTTCGTAAAATTATGCCTATATTAGACATTTCCCACAAACCTACTCATTTTCTTATTGCTAATCAAACTACTAACCATCTCATTCGATGCATTCAGAAAGTGACATAACGCAAAAGCAACAAACACCAAAGGTATATGTACATCAATCAGACAACAAACCTTCCTGGTCTTTTCAATTCTTTATTAGGAGAGTGGCGACGAGTCGACAAATAACCTTCATCTCTTTCCCATGCCCCCATTGTTTTGGAGGATCTGCCATATTCATCATCAACCATATCATCTCCATGTGAGCCTCTTCTAGCATCGGCAGTAGACCACCTGCTTCGACTACTGCCATCAGTCTCATGATAAGTTGTACCTGCTGCTTTCCCCGACCAAGAATTATTATTGTGGTGATTTTCAAAGGAAGCTCGAGACTCTTCTTTCAAATCCCACTTAGAACTACGCTTTCGACCACCACTGCCACCACTCATTTTGTGATAGGCACTTCCTTCTCTCATCGAATGCTGAACACAACCTGTAGGATAAGAATGCAACATATTCATAAAGCTTTATGAAAGATTTACATATAACAGAATACCATTTAGAGCACATTGATATCTATGAGGTGTAGAAACCAGAGAGTCTGCTTCCCAAAAATACATTAAGTAGATATCTCATATTAGCATGTTTAATAAAAATATGTGCACACAATTGCTAAACTATCGGCAATAATGTTACAAGCACAGAAAAGAGCTCGAGAGTTTCAATACCATGAAAAGCTCATTGAAATATTCCATGCAATAATAATCCAATAAATTTCACAAGTAGTTTTCCCAAGTACACTGAAATGGAGCAAAATTCTTCATCATCACTGTTTCAACCCTCAAACTACTGGAACAATAAGATCTACAAACAGTGGTAAGAACAACTAGCAGTCCACCAAAGAAAAAGATCTCTGAGTTTCAATGGTTAAAGAAAATGATCTCTCACATACTTCATTTGCAAGGGAAAAACTGTGAGTCAACAGGTAGTATGGCGTCCAAATAATTACTTTGTGCGCAATACATTCCATCTCAGATTAAAAATTCCATATAGTGTATGTTTTGCTCCTAAGGAGTATGTCCCATTGAGCAAAACAGATAATACCAAGCTTCCAGAGAATGCCAAAAAAAAAATCTGTTTATTGATTATCAGCATCTTTAAAAAACGAATAAAGATCACTAAATCCTTGGCAAATGCCGGCTCCATGTAACGAGCTCTTACAGTAATTCCTCTACAGAATATAGATGCTATAGCTACAAAGAATGTAGTTTCACATCATTCTTCCATCCAATGGAAATGCTAGCTTCCGCACAATGAACAAAACTATAGCCATGTTGCTTCCTATGGAAAAAGGTGCCTGACTTCAATCCTTCTCCAGCCTTCTTAGAGCATTCAGCATCAAAGAACCATGGAGATTTATTTCACTGAGAGATTCCTTAGCCAACTCCTAGAAGATTTTTTTGCATAGCTATCCCCAAAAACCTTTGTAGTGCTTTCCACCCTATTTAAATTGCAATGATCCACTAATTTGCAGAAAAACGTTGCACTTGTAGATGGATTGAGTAGCATGGCAAAGTTTTATTCGCATCAGTTACTTAAGCATACTTCGAACCCCCTCCATGCACAGACCTTGTGAAATTTACTGCATAGAAATTATATCTTGTATTAGCACGGAGGAAAACTGTTCTGGGGGACAAAGATTTAACTAAAATCCCTATAATACTATCTAGCCTAGGCCATTTAGCTTAAATCTACTCAGGAATCTTAATGAAGGGTCCTATCACAGTCATTTTTAACACATATTCAAAAAGCTTGAGATAGGTTTCCAAATGATTTAATGTGATAACCCATAGAAGCTTCATACTAAAATTCAATCCACAATGTGATTACACAAATCAAGAAGCAAGCAAAGATAACAAGGAAAGTAAGGATCACAGAATTTCTCAGCTAATAAATAGCAATTAGTGGATAGCAGAAAGAATCAGCCCCCATACACTGCCCAACCCGACATTGTGTGGGCCTTCAGAAATCAGAATAAACACAAATACACTGAGCAAACAGCGGGAGAACTGCTCAAACTCTGAACCTTTCAGCAATTACTAACCAGTTGAACACCGTAAAACTACTGAAACGCATGAAAGCTTTCTTCTTTTCTAAATTTTAACAAGCTAACCAATTCATCTCACTAAAACCAGCGAGCCTGTCAGCTAGCGAATTCAACAAACTTAAACCAGTGAGAAAAGAGATGAAACTAAGTTTCTAAAGCTAAAAGCTGAGACTTTCCGCAATCACTATCCAATTCAACTCGCTAAGGCCACTGAACTTCACAAGGGTTTCCCCCCCTATTCCGAACTAAAGCAAGAAGATAAAGCTCATTTACCAACACCAAAAATATCCAAATGAGCACTCACATTCCACCACCCACGTATCCGAACACAGCAGGAAAATAACGAGAAAGAACACCAAAACCCTAAAAGCCGCTACCTTTCAAAAGTTCAAACAGTTCTCACCACAAGATTCAAAATCAAATTCGCGCGATGCAGGAAAGAGATTCATAAGATACCGACAATGAGCAGAAGCTAGAGATTGTGAGGAAGTAAAGAGGGCGGGAACTCACTCGGATAATATCAGAGACGCCCAGCCATGTCCGACCAAGCAGCAATGGATAGGGAAGCCCGAGGTAGAAGAAGGGAGGAAGAAGGTATAAAAAATGTGAAAGGAGGAAGCTTTGCGGAGATTCGCCGGGAGTGCGAGTGAAGGCAACGAGAGTGAGAGAGTTCAAGCGGAATGGGAGCTTTCTGAATTCTGGGGGAAGAGGGGTTTTTCAATTATCACAGTATACGGGAGGGAAGAGAAGAAAAGGAAGGGCAAGGATTGATGGGAAGGAAAAGGAACAAACTGCGACTCATTTCTCTAGCCCACCATCACTAATTCACTATTTCCCTCTTCAATTATATTTGCTAATCATTATAGATTAAGAGTTATTATTTCAAATAAATAAACAATGAGTATTTTTTTCATAGATTTGAAAAATAAGGATTTTAGTAAAATTTGGGTTTTGAAAAATCATGAATATAAAATCTCCCAAAAAAATATGAAAATGTCATCCGAAAATAAATTTGTCCAAATCGATAGACTTCATTGTATGAGGAGAATAGCCTCGGGCTGAATCCGTGATCTATAGCCTCCAAAATAGAAAGCAAATCGCATTTCGGAAAAATCGCCTGAAATCTGTGATGGTACTCCTTTGCAATCTGCCAAAAAAGGAGCCGAAAGAAATCAACCCAAATCGGCCCTTAATGGACTTAGTCATCGTTGAAGAATAGCCTCAGCCCGAATGTGTGATCAGTAGCCTACAAAATCCATGGAAAATGGTCTTTCGAAAAAAATCCCCCAAGAAATTACGAAAATGCCATCCGAAAATAAATTTGCCCAAATCGGTGCGTAATGGGATTCATCATCCGTGGAGAATTGGATCAGTAGACTTCATTATATGTGGAGAATAGACTCGGGCTGAATCAGTGACTTGTAGCCTCCACAATCGAAAGAAAATGGCATCTCGAAAAAATCGCCTGAAATCTGTGATGGTACCCCTTTGCAATCTGCAAAAAAGAGACCCGGAAGACATCCCCCAAATCGGTCCTTAATGGACTTAATCATCGTTGAAGAATAGCCTCAGGGACGAATTCGTGATGAGTAGACTTCAAAATCCATGAAAAATGGTCTCTCGAAAAAAATCCCCCAAAAAATTACGAAAATGTCATCCAAAAATAAATTCGCCCAACTCGGTGTTTAATCGGCATCAACATCCGCGGAGAATTGGATAAATAAACTTCATTATATGTGGAGAATACCCTCGGGCTAAATCCGTGATCTGTAGCCTCCAAAATCGAAAGAAAATGACATTTCGAAAAAAATCACATAAAATCTGTGATGTTACCCCTTTGCAATCTGCCAAAAAAGAACCCGGAAGAAATCCGCCAAATCGATCCTTAATGGACTTAATCATCGTTGAAGAATAGCCTCAGGGCAAACCCGTTATCAGTAGCCTTCAAAATCCATGGTAAATGGCCTTTCGAAACAAATCCCCCAATAAATTAAGAAAATGCCATCCAAAAATAAAATTTCTCCAATCGGTGCTTAATGGGCTTCATCATCCATGGAGAATTGGATCAGTAGACTTCATTATATGTGGAGAATAGTCTCGGACTGAATTCGTGACCTGTGGCCTCTAAAATCGAAAGAAAATGGCATTTCGGAAAAAGCGCCCAAAATTTGAGATGGTACCCCTTTGCAACCTGCCAAAAATGGACCCGAAAGAGATCCGCCCAAATCGATTTTAAATGGACTTAATCATTGTTGTAGAATAGCCTCAGGCCAAACTTGTGATCAGTAGCCTTCAAAATCCATGGAAAATGAACTTCAAAAAAAATCCCCCAAAAAATTAAGAAAATGTCATCCGAAAATAAATTCATCCAAATCGGTGCTTAAAGAGCTTCATCATCCATGCAGAATTGGATCAATATCATTCATTATATGTGGAGAATAGACTCGGTTGAATCCGTGATTTGTAGCCTCCAAAATAGAAAGAAAATGGCTTTTCAGAAAAATCGACCGAAAGCTGTGATGATACCCCCTGCAATCTGCCAAAAAAGGACCCGGAAGAAATCTGCCCAAATCGGTCCTTAATGGACTTAATCATCGTTGAAGAATAGCCTCAGGCCGAAACCGAGATCAGTAGCCTTCAAAATCCATGGAAAATGGCCTTCCAAAAAAAATCCAATAATTAATTCCGAAAATAAATTCGCCCAATCGGTGCTTAATGGGCTTCATCTTCCTTGGAGAATTGGATCAATAGACTTCATTATATGTGGAGAATAGCCTCGGGCTGAATCAGTGATCTGTAGCCTCCAAAATCGAAAGAAAATGGAATTTCGAAAAAATCTCCCGAAATCTTTGATGGTACCCATTTGCAATCTACCAAAAAAGGACACGGAAGAAATCCGCTCAAATCGATCCTTAATGTACTTAATCATCGTTTAAGAATAGCATCAGGGTAAATCTGTGATCATTAGCCTTCAAAATCCATGGAAAATGGCCATTCGAAAAAAATCCCGCAAGAAATTACAAAAATGCCATTCAAAAATAAATTTTTTCCAAATCGATGCTTAATGGGCTTCATCATTTGTGTAGAATTGGATCAATAGACTTCATTATATTTGGAGAATAGCCTTGGCCTGAATACGTGATCTGTAGCCTCCAAAATAGAAAGAAAATGGCATTTCGGAAAAATCGCCCGAAATCTGTGATAGTACCCCTTAGCAATATGCCAAAAATGGACCCAGAAGAAATCCGACCAATGGTCCTTAATGGACTTAATTTATCGTTGAAAAATAGCATATGGCCGAATCCGTGATCAGTAGCCTTCAAAATCCACGAAAATGGCCTTTATAAAAAAAATCCCCGAATAAATTACGAAAATGTCATACGAAAATAAATTCGCCCAAATCAGTGCTTAATGGGCTTCATCATCTATGGATAATTGGATAAATAGACTTCATTATATGTGGAGAATAGCCTCGTGCTGAATCCGTGATCTGTAGCATCCAAAATCAACAGAAAATGGCATTTGAAGAAAAATCACCTGAAATCTGTGATGGTACCCCTTTGCAATATGCCAAAAAGGGACCAGGAAGAAATCCGCACAAATCGATCCTTAATGGACTTAATCATCGTTGAAGAATAGCCTCAGGCCGAATCCGTGATCAGTAGCCTTCAAAATCCATGGAAAATGGCCTTTCGAAAAAAATCCCCCAAGAAATTACGAAAATGCCATCCGAAAATAAATTCACCCAAATCGGTGCTTAATGGGCTTCATCATACATGGAGAATTGGATTAATAGACATCATTATATGTGGAGAATAATCTCGGGCTGAATCCGTGATTTGTAGCCCCAAAATAAAAAGAAAATGACATTTCGGGAAATCGCCCGATTTCTGTGATGGTACCCCTTTGCAATCTTCCAAAAATGGACCCGGAAGAAATCCTCCCAAATCGGTCCTTAAATGATTTGTAGCCTCGCGCTGAGTCCGTGATTTGTAGCCTCCAAAATAGATAGAAAATGGCATTTCGGAAAAAAATCACCTGAAATCTATGATGGTACCCCTTTGCAATCATCTAAAAATCGCTCAAAATCTGTGATTGTACCCCTTTGCAATATGCCAAAAATGGACCCAGAAGAAATCAACCCAAATCGGTCCTTAATGGACTTAATCAACATTGAAAAATAGAATCTGGCCGAATCCAAGATCAGTAGCTTTCAAAATCGATGGAAAATGGCCTTTATAAAAAAATCCTCTAATAAATTACGAAAATGCCATCTGAAAATAAATTCGCCTGAATCAGTGATCAATGGGCTTCATCATCCGTGGAGAATTGGATCAATAGACTTCATTATATGCAGAGAATATCCTCGATTTGAATCTGTGATCTGTAGCATCCAAAATCAACAGAAAATGACATTTCGGAAAATTCACCCAAAATCTATAATGGTACCCATTTGCAATATGCCAAAAAGGGACGAGGAAGAAATCCGCACAAATCGATCCTTAATGGACTTAATCATCATTGAAGAATAGCCTCATGCCGAATCCATGATCAGTAGCCTTCAAAATCCATGGAAAATGGCCTTTCGAAGAAAATCCCCCAAGATATTACGATAATGCCATTCGAAAATAAATTCGCCCAAATTGGTGCTTAATGGGCTTCATCATCCTTGGAGAATTGGATGAATAGACTTCATTATATGTGGAGAATAGCCTTGGGCTGAATCCGTGATCTGTAGCCTCCAAAATAGAGAGAAAATGGCATTTCGGAAAAATCGCCCGAAATCTGTGATGGTACCCCTTTGCAATCTGCCAAAAATAGACCCGGAAGAAATCCGCCCAAATCGGTCCTTAATGGACTTAATCGACGTTGAAGAATAGCCTCAGGCCGAATCTGTGATCAGTAGCCTTCAAATTCCATGGAAAATGGCCTTTCGAAAAAAATCCCCCAAGAAATTATGATAATGCCATCCGAAAATAAATTCGTCCAAATTGGTGCTTAATGGGCTTCATCATCCTAGGAGAATTGGATTAATAGACTTCATTATATATGGAGAATAGCCTCGGGCTGAATCCGTGATCTGTAGCCTCCAAAATAGAGAGAAAATGGCATTTCGGAAAAATCGCCCGAAATCTGTGATGGTACCCCTTTGCAATCTGCCAAAAATGGACCCGGAATAAATCCGCGCAAATCGGTCCCTAATGGACTTAATCGACGTTGAAGAATAGCCTCAGGCCGAACCCGTGATCAGTAGCCTTCAAAATCAATGGAAAATGGCCTTTCGAAAAAAATCCCCCAAGATATTACGATAATGCCATCCGAAAATAAATTCGCACAAATCGGTGCTTAATGGGCTTCATCATCCTTGGAGAATTGGATCAATAGACTTCATTATATGTGGAGAATAGCCTCGGGCTGAATCCGTGATCTGTAGCCTCCAAAATAGAGAGAAAATGGCATTTCGAAAAAATCGCCCGAAATCTGTGATGGTACCCCTTTGCAATCTGCCAAAAATGTACCCGGAAGAAATCCGCCCAAATCGGTCCTTAATGGACTTAATCGACGTTGAAGAATAGCCTCAGGCCGAATCCTCCATCAGTAGCCTTCAAAATCCATGGAAAATGGCCTTTCGAAAAAAATCCCCCAAGATATTACGATAATGCCATCCAAAAATAAATTCGCCCAAATCGGTGCTTAATGGGCTTCATCATCCTTGGAGAATTGGATCAATAGACTTCTTTATATGTGGAGAATAGCCTCGGGCTG